TGACTACAAGTGTGGTGCATAGGCAGCCGTCCGAGGAAGCGTGCGCGTGGGGGGTGCAAAAATGCTCTTTCGCCTGTGTAGGCAAAAATCCTTGCACAGGCCCTGCATGCTGCACGCTGTGTTTTTTGCGGTGAAGAATAGAAGAAGCTTTAGCGGGGATGTGGCCTGTCAGGGAACTCCAGTTCCCAGCAGGCACCTGACAAGGGAGCTGGTGGGATACCCGCTGTAGGACGTACCGGCAGTGTGGTCAGCGAAGATTAGGTTGTGGCAGCCTGGAGCTGGAGGCACCGAGATCAGGAGCTGTGAGGGAAGACATTCTGGAGGAGAGCTGCAGCAGGTCCAGGTAGGTACTGATTGTTGTATATGTGCAGAGTGTCATTGTCTTGCAGTGTCATTTGTTTTCCAACCAAAAATTATTAATAAAATGCTTTAAAGTGTTATTAAACCCTCAGGTGTCGTTGCATATATGTACGGCTACCAAGCAGTAGATATATGCAAAAACTAAAAACAAAACAAAACCCTTTCAAACCGGTTTGAAAAAAAAAAAGTATCAAAATCATGTTTTGGGGGGGTGGCCTTGGGCCCTGAGGTTTCTAGTTACGCCTCTGATGAAAACTGTACTCTGGCCTCATCACAGCTAACTGCAGACTGGAGGAGTGACTCCTGATGAGTCTCCCCCGAGTGGGGGAGAAGTTGATTGCTGCTTACTTGCTGAACTAAGAAAAACCTTGAGTTGCTTCCATAATTTCTCCTGACTGAAGCTCTCTGAGCATGCCACAAGAGCTAAGCCTTGCAGTAACTGTATGCCTGCCTTGTCTCAGTATGAGTGAAATGTACATTGTGCCATATCAAATTGCACAGTCCAATATGCCGAGACAGTAGGTCAAGCTGAGCTGAGTGAACTAAAAAATGCTGGCTTTTGTCCTGCCACGGAGCGGAGCAGCTCAGCTGCTTAAGCCTGTAGCATGCTGCCTGTAATTTTTTAGTGGAGTGAAAAAAATCGCCAGCGGTGGTGGAGCACCCTCAAGATGCCAGTGATCCAGTTGGCAGAGAGTTTTTTCAATCGTTATCGTGATCTGGTGACCAGGAATTGGTTAGCCCTGTGCTAGGGGAATAGGTGGAGGAGCTAAGTCCCCAATCCTGGAACTCTAGTTATATTAAAAGCAGACACACCATATAAAGAAACTCTTAGTCAGAAAACGAATAGTACATTTACCGAAGAATAATAGCAAAATTTCTATCACATGACATCATCTTATAATTTGATATTCATGATCCTGAGTGTCAGGGTTGCCAGCATACCCCATTCTTTTTTTACTGACAGCATGAAATATTACAGAAGCTCTATTAAAAAAAAAAAAAACTGACCATCAATATTTTAACACTATAAACAATATGTAAATTGTAAATTCAGATTGGTCTAGGGATATGAATGGCGTGCCTCAGGGTTCTGTGCCAGGCCCCATACTATTCAACCTGTTTATTAATTACATCAGGGAGGGCGTAAATAGCAATGTTTCCGTGTTTGCTGATGATGCCAAAATTGGGAGGGTAATAGACACGGGATTAGACACTATTACACTCCAGGAGAACCTGGATAAAATAGGGGAGTGGGCAACTATATGGCAGATGAGGTTTAATGTTGATAAATGTAAAGTAATGCACTTTGGGGTTAAAAATAGGCAAGCGGAATACACATTAATGGGAACTCCACTAGGGATGTCAGAAATGGAAAAAGATTTGGGGGTCATTGTAGACCTAAGGTTGAACAATAGCTTGCAATGCCAGGCTGCGGTAAACAAAGCAAGCAGAGTACTGTCTTGTATTAAAGGAGAACTATGGGGTCAGTGTTTTTCCCCATAGTTCTCCTTAGGGTAACGGGAGGACACAAACTAGCGTCCTCCCGTTACCCTAAGCTCAGTATACCGCGAGCTACAGCTCGCGGTATACTGAGACGCCACACCTGGAGCGATTCCCGACCTAGATGACGGGATCCGCCCAGCTGCGTGAGTGACAGCTGGCTCTGCCTACCTAGAGGCAGAGCCAGCTGTACACGCCCCCTCCCCCGTCCGTTCCGCCAGTCAGCGCTGGCAGATCGGAGCGGGGAGAGGGGAATCCAGCCCCTCCCCCGTCACGGCAGAGAGCCGTGACAGGATCGAGAGGTGAGGGAACCCGATATGTGTTCTCTCACCTCCCGATCTACTGAGCCGACCTGTGACAGTCTCATTGTCACAGGTCGGCTTAGAACTATGAGGTGAGTGGAAATCACTCATCTCATAGTTCTCCTTTAAAAAGGGAATGTACTGTAGAGACAAACCAATAATTTTGCCACTGTATAGATCACTTGTTCGGCCTCATCTGGAGTATGCGGTCCAGTTTTGGTCACCAATACACAGGAAGGATGTCCTGGAACTGGAGGGAGTCCAGGGAAGGGCAACAAAACTAATTAAGGGGATGGAGGACCAAAGCTATGAGACAAGGCTACTAAATCTAAACATGTTCACGCTGGAAGTGAAGAGATTAAGGGGGACATGGTTTGGATGTACATGATGTTCAATGGGGATAGCAACATCATCCATAAACTTTTTACTATAAACTCCATAACAAGGACTAGAGTCCACCACCTAAAACTGGTGGAGAAAACATTTAACCACAAGGGGGCATAGGGGCTTTTTCTCAGTTAGAGCAGTTAGGGTCTGGAACTCGCTGCCACAAGCAGTAGTATCAGCTGAGAGTATTGAATCATTCAAAAAACATTTGGACAACTTCCTCAGAGAGCGTAAAATACAGGGGTACAGGCACTCTTAAAAACAAGAACGCACAGGGACTCGTACACACGCATACATACACGCAATAGGTTGAACTTCATGGATCTGTGTCTTTATTCAACCGCAAATACTATGTAACTATGTAAATGTTAACAATTTGCACAAAGAGTAATCTGCCTTGCTTTACATTAAAGTGGAAATAAACCGCTTTCTCAATTTTTTGATTTTGCACCACATACTTGCACATTAGGGTACACTTACCTTACAAGTGTGCTCTTCTCCACTGCAGTCGGATTGATCTTTGGGCCTTAGCTCTGTCCACCGCTGCCACCATCTCCACTGCAGATACTTCCTGGCTCTCAGATATACTTTACATCCATTTGGTGGCCATTAATGATGTAATGAGCATCATCCTCCCCAGCACCTGGCACAGCCATGGCATCTTAACCAGTTGACATCCGCGGTGTTAAACCCCCCTTCCCATCCAGGCCATTTTTCAGTATTCAGCGCTGCGGTACTTTGACTGACATTTATTCCGTCATGATAGCAGTACTTAAACACATTCAAGTACTGTATTAACAAAAATTTAGCTTATTTGTGCATCACTCAGCTGTGGATCCTCAAATCATTTTCACTCATTCAGCTGCTTAGGTGAAATTTTCTTTAAAAATGATTAACCCTTGTTTGAGGGGTTTTTTTTGTGGGTGGAGGGAATATTTAGAGTAGTTTATTTCATTTAGTGTGTTCCCTTTTTTTGTGTGCATTTGATAATTATTTATGTACTGTCTCTTGAAATGTTTTACATTGCTTCTGGATTTTTTTTTTTTAAATGGGACTAATGTTTTAGTGCACACAAACACAATATAATACTAATTTTATTTGGTAACAATAAAAGATGGGGTAAAGTTGAGTAAATAGATACCATACATGTCAATCGTTAAAATTGTGCACGTCCAAGTGCAATGGTAAAACACTATGTTACTCAAAATTGTCCATATGCAATGCTTTAAAAGCCTTTACTGCTCATCAGTTTAGAGTTTACAGCAAATTATTTCCCCAGAATTATTGTTCTCATTATTGCAAGCAAGCAAAGGAAAAGTAAGCAAATGCTAACAAGGCATTGGGATTAAGGAAAACCTGTTGCTTTGCCCTGACGTAAATCTGTGACCAAACCAACAGACCTATACATAGCAGCTGTTAGCGTAAACTGTCTGCACATAGCTGATGGCACTGCAGAAAGTTTCACGTCAGATACTTTTGCAGTTTCCTCACTTCCTTATAGTAAAGATAAGGCACACTGCCTTTATTACATCCCGCAATACACTTACTGGTGCCTGAACGATCTATAACTATCAATAGACCTAGTCAATATCACACACAAATAGCAACGTAAAGAATGTTGCTATTTGCAATGGGTGTTGGGATGTTAGGGCAGCTCTGAGGTGAGACCTACTTGTTGATAGCGTGTTTGAAATTAGTTGTGATACTGCTGTATAGCTAGTCTCTTCATTGCATAGCAAAACCCTCTAACTTCAACAGGCTCCCATGACAGGGATACTGAAATCTGGCAAATTGTTGGTTGTTGTTAAGACTGCTATTACACTTTACTATTATTTTAGCACTATGTTCTGCAATCAGTGCAAGATAGTAAGTTACATATTTTGAAAGTAGTCACGTAAGTGTCATGTAAACAATTGCTTGCATACTGTGGCAGCAATATTTCTGGTTCTCAGAGAAGATCCATTAATTTAGAACATTGCTTAGATTTTGCCAATGCAAGAATTGAGAGTTAAGTTCCTCACATAAGTGCAAATGCTGTCCAGTAGAAATATTGTTTTACAGTGGAGCTCTGACATATTACTGGGGGCTGGCCATTACTTGATTAGGTTGAACACAGTATACATCCAGTACATCCTTTTCAAAATGTCTAGGGGCAAAATGTGAGGTGTCCAATATTAAGGAAGTTAGCCACAATGCCCATAGGCTACCACTTCAATCAACCCAAGTTTGAGAGAGAAATAGAAAAACATATACAAATTGTGCTGAATAGGATAATGTTACTAGGTTTAGTTAAGAGAATTATTCATGGGAAGTGTCTGATAAATTAACCTGCATATCAAGAATAAAAATGAGCACTGTATGAATTTATATGAACCGTGCTTTGATAGATCACTTATAACATGTATTATGCATTCTTGTCTTTGCAGTTAAATATTGAGCTGGAAACTTTAGATGGAAACTGTGTTTCAAGAATTCTCTACCTATCAAGGAACATTAGTCAATCCTTATTACTGGCTTTACCCAAACCAGAACTGCTCCAAATGTCCTTATCATATTAGAACTGGAGAGGAGTCTAGAGTTACCTACAAGGAGTTTTATGAAACTTTTGGATTTCCATATGGGCCAACAATGCATGAAAACAAACAACTAATATTTTATGAAATAAAGGCCTTTAATGGAGCAGTAATACAAAAAGGCCAAGTTACTAACTGTGCTGTTTCTAATATTCATGCAGAATCCATCTTGTTTGAAAAACATGGCTACCTGGATTCCTTTCTCTATCAGCATGATTCAGTTGGTTACATAACTCTTTATGCAAACTTTACACCTTGCAATGAATATGGTCACTACTGTATTAGCAAAATGTATGATTTATTAATCAAGTATACACAAATGCGTCTGGACATCTATTTTTCACAAATGTATCATGTTGAAGTGAGTTTTCCCTCTGCTGTCTGGAACAGAGATGCATTAAAGAGCCTTGCTGGTCACTGGCCTAGAGTAACGATAAATCCACTCAGTGATGGAATTTGGAAAACTGTTCTTTGTGCCTTTGTGAAAGAAGTTCCGGAGACAACAACCAATCAGCCTATTTTGCCTATTAGAGCATCTGCAGATAGACACAATGCATACATGATCCATGTTATCACAGGAATTAAGCCTTACTATGTAGAAGATCATCCCATGCCTCAACCTGAAGAAACAAGATATCAGCCAAAATATCAAAGGCATAAAGTGCAAAATAATTTAGCTCCCCAGCCTCCATATGGCTTCTACCAATACTCTCCTTTCTTTGTTCCCCAGAAATCTATTGTACCTGCTTTTCAAAGCCAGAAAGAACTGATGACTAAGCCTAAACAAGTTGTCCGTCATCTTAGCATGCCTATGGACCTAAATGAGAGATCAAATGGGAGTGAATTCATATTCAATGCCAGGAACGTTAATGAGGTTGTAAGCACTGAGCAAATAGTGTCGGAAAAGGATAAAGAATCAACAAGGAATAGGAGGAAAAAAAAGAAACATTAAATTTGAAAATAATTTCTAGAGAATATGTGGATCAACTGCAATGACAGTTTGGAATTAGTCATCAACAAACTCCAATTAGAAAAAAAAAACACTAAACCTATATAATATCATGGTATGTGTACTTAGTATTTTTGATGAGGTGCAACTGTAGGGCTCACTGAGACTGTGGCTGTGGTCCTGACCCCTGGCAAGCACAATGCATATACCAGGCCTAAAAGTGTGTACTGAATTAAAAAGCTAAGTTCACACTGTGCTGCTGGGGGGCAGGTCTTTGTGATATGGCAACCCTCACACTATTTACAATATTAAGACCACAGCTGTCTACTGTCTTCCATAGTTTCCTAACAGGGATCAAGCCACGGGCAGAAAACTGTCTGTAAAAACATACTGTAAAAACAACACCTAAATGCCACAAATGATCTCCCACCAAATGTTATTTCTATTTGCTTTTTCATGCTTATATGATTGTAGATTTATCAATTGTTGGCTCTAACCAAAGTATCTGAAATATGTAGTATATGCCCACAGTATACATAAAAGCACACAGAAACAGCCCTATAGTGCAGTTTGACCGCTGTTTCTCATTTATAGGCCAAACCCTTTGTGACACAGGTACTGTAAATGGCTTTACATTGAGTTTTTATTTATTTGCAGATTTTGTGTTTTATATTTTATTTAATAATATATATCTAAAAGCAAAAATTTGAAATGAAACCAAAAGCACAAACTAATGTTTGTGTGTAAATTAGAGTTTTCTTCTGTTTGCTGACAATTCTGATTTCCTGATTAAGGCCAGAGCTGTTTTTACATACATGAAAGCAAATGAATGAACAAAATAAACAATGTGATTTGTTTTGTGTTTTCTACACCGCTTTTCTGCTTTGTTTCTACACTACTTGTTTTCAAAGGTAAAGTAAATAGCAATGTAAGTTGTGAGGGCTAATGTAAACATGCTTTTAGCTATTTCAGTGAACTCAATCCAAAGCATTTCAGTAACCCCACAGGACGTGAAGGGGGATAGACAGTAATAATAACCCAGCAGAGATTCTAGCCTTCCCCACACTGCACAAAATTAATTAAAAAGTTTGGCTTTTGGCAGATTGCTTTGAACTGTTTAAAGCAGTGATGCTTACTTCAAGTTTAAGCTGATATAGAGCTTCCACAATAACAAGGTAGTAGGAGGGGAAAGAGTTATTTCATGTACTCAATACCCCTTTTCTAGCCATTTCCAGAATTACATTGGTTAAAAGGCATGTCAACTACATAGGCAGTTAGGTGGACACAATCCTTTAATAACTTTTTGCTGCTTCTTTTTTATGCATTATATTGAATGTGGACCATTAGGCTACCAATTTTACATCCAGGAAATTGGACAGTTTCCGCTTGGAACAGGGAGTTCTCCTGAAGCATTAGCTAAACATTGCTTTATATGACACGTTAACTTACCAGAACAATATTAAACACGTCCAATGAAAGTACGTTGTATACAAAATAGAAAGCAGACAGCCATGGGCCCAAAAGAAAAAAATTAACAACACGTTCTTGGGTGGCCTTTTCACAACAAACACCATACAGAAACATCAATGTATTTTATATTGTTATCTAGAGACAGAAGTTAGCGTTTCATCCTAATTTCCTATGAAGTGTTTATGGCATTTGACACAGTAGACCAATACATTCCAACAAAATGCCTGAAGCAATACTGTGGTATAGCTGGCTTAGTACTCACATCCTTCCTAACAGGCAAATCTTAAAGAATCATGTCTGGACAGTACTCCTTTACAAATTTCCCTCTTTCATACTGACGATTGCAAGGATCAGCACTGGTAACTATGCTGTTTACAGCAGACATGATACAAGTCAGCAATGTCATCCAATGCTATGACCTCAACTTCCATTGGTATCCAGATGACACCTAATTATTTGTATCTTAAAGGAGTTCTAAAGTCATACCATATACTCTCCTGTCATAACATCAGCACTGCAATAAGGATACAAAGTATAGTTGTTTCTGATAATGCAAAAAGTAGTGAGTGCTGGCTTCCATCTGCCCATTACTTTCAACAACTTTGCTTTGCATCTTTTTCCCTGCTACTTGATGTGATGCAGTTTTGCTTTCTCAAGACTATATATCCCATAATGCATTGCTTCCAGCAAGCAATAATAATATTACATTGTTCAGACGCTGAGTTGTAGTTCAGAAGGCAGGTCCTGTGAGAGTTTTGACACAAAGAAGTACATATTCACAAAGCTGAGTGAAATTGCGTCAGTGAATTGAGGACGTTCATCCTATGGGCATTTTCAATAAGCAAGTTTACAAACATTAACATTCAAATACATTTAATGCCAGTTACATTTAAAAAAATGCTATTTGGGATCCTTAAAATCAGCCTTCACTTTTCATATCACTTATGAAATAATGTACAAGCTCACTTTTATTACCAATATCAATGTGTTATCTAGTTTGCCAAAAGTGGCTTTTTTTGAGAAACAATACAATAATTTGGGGATAAAAATTACTGTACTTTTGATCAGAATTGTATTAGTAGTTGCAGAAATCAGTCAAGAAAAAGAAAGCAAAATAGGGGAGAAATGGACTCCTTGTACTTACATCAGAGCTCCAGCAGATGGCAGCCATGACCTTCTCCAGCAAGAAGCTAGGACCTTTGTTTCTACAAATTAGAAACAAAATATAAAGCACAGTTGTGGTTCAGCCCATTGAGCTGTTCCATTGTTTGTGCAGTTTGAGAGGGACAACTGAAAAGCCACTTTGACTCTTCCTTAAGAAATGTCTTAAGACATTTCACTATATTCTTTAGCACAAAACCATAATGTCAGTAAGTCAAGAAAGTGAAATCAGGAGAAATGTTAGGATGTTTTTCTCTAGGAACATTTCCATTCAGCTGCCAATTGTTCTACTTCTGCTTCAACTACTTAAACAAAATTCCTGTGCAGAATCAGAGCCAGATATAGGAAAAACCCCGGACGGAGCTTCTACTTTAGCATTTGTTTTTGACGTCACTGGATCCATGTATGACGACTTGGTTCAAGTAATTGATGGTGCATCAAAGATATTAGAAAAATCTTTAAACAGACCGAAAAAGCCGCTATATAATTTCGCTTTGGTGCCATTTCATGACCCAGGTAAGAACATTTTTGTCTCTCTCAAATAAAACTTTGTATTGCTTTAAAAGTATGTAAGCAGTACCACTCACTATTACTTTTGTCACAGTGATTAATACAGTACACTTAAGTAATATAGGTAATGCTTATAGTTATTTATGTATCAAGAGAAAAATAGCTCTTTTTTATAATGTAAATCAATCTGTTCAGTGTTTATGTGATTACATGAAAAAACGTTTTTAGCCACCCATGTCACACAGTAATCCATGTTACATTGTATATTTAATTTATTATTCAGTAAACACAGACTTCATTTTCAAGTGTAATTGTTTTGTTGCTGTAACATTCTCTATAACCAGTAGATAGCAGGGTAAAGTCTGTGTTCTGTAAGATGAATTAAACGGTTTGGCACATTACATGAAGCAAAGCAGTAACAAATCCATTGCCTTTAGTCATGCTGACATTCTTTAACCTTTTGATGTACATTTTAGCCTCCTCTGGGTTCTTTCAAGTAACTTCACCAAGAATATAATGCAGGAAGTTATCACAGCCTAGTGTTTATTCTCTTGATGTTTGTTTGCTTATTTTCCTTTTTAACCTACTACATGTTCTGTACTTGATTTACAGCTAAATAATTGTTGGAATATGTGAATTCGGTTTGTTTGGTTACAAGATATTTCAGATTCTCATTAGTTGCAAAACAATGTCCAAAAGTTACTGGTTTACATTTATTTTGCTTTTAGAATTTTTCTTAATGGAGGTTTAATGAAATGGGTATAACAACTGTGTAATTGGATCACAAGTGTATGTTATGTGTCCCATTTTGTAAAAAGAAACAAACAGGATCAAAAGGTTCATGATTTGACCCAGAATGCCCTAACTGGCACAGTTACAAATTAAGGCTGGCGTTTTATCAAAGTCCATTTATCTCCACACTCTGACTAAAATAGATAGAGATGGGTAAACGGACAGTCATAGATTGGGCTTCAGTCACTTCAGTGCATATTTGCAATCTAGGAATAAAACAAGTTATTACAATTTTCTTATTGTTCTCTATGACTACTTAAAAGGGACACCCCAGTCAAAATATGCCTGGAGTCTCCCCAATTTGCTTCTTTATGTTAAGAAATACTGTTGGATCTTTACCCAACAGTATAGCGAAGGTCCTTCTACATACATGCCCACTTGCATTACACTCTGCACTGATCCTTAGGGTTTAAGTCGTCCCCCACCTCCTGACATATTCTGCTGAAACACTTGACATTATTGTCCTTCTGTCTAGTCATAAGGTTTAAGTCTGGTTCGCAAGTTTTACAGAGCTGGCCTAATTTTACTATAGCACTGAAACCAATCTATAATGTTCAAGAAAATGTGAGGTCATGGGTGTAATGCTGTAAAAATTACCATGTGATTTAACATTACTCTATGCAAAGCTTGAAGGAATTATTGCCAATCCACTAACAATTAAGTGGAGCCGGGTCAAGAAGCCGGGACAGTTCCGATCACAAATCACATGGCCAGCTGAGCAGGTCTCTTGGAACATCTCCACCTTCTTACATATTAGGGGGATAATGGGAAAACACATAGTAAACAGCAAGATTTTCTATTTCTTTATGAGAACTATAAAAACCATATCTAAAATCTGAAAGCTGTAGCCATACCCCCCCCCCCCCCTCATTGTCATTTCATTGATTTTGATTATTGGTTTATGTTAATAAAGAATGTAAACAGTGGAGTTAGCTGTATAGATCAATCAAATCTAACAAATTAAAAATTTTGGTGGCAGTTTACATAGTTTTAAAAACCAGCGTAAGAAAATGAAGGCAATGGCTACTGCAATAAGATTCTACTTTACCATTTCTGATTAGAACATCAGT